TTGCGGTGGTCTGAGATCGCACCACTTGCACTCCAGTCGCAGAAACAGAAGTTTGCGTGACACCTGGTTTTGAGCTGCATTTGGGGTTTATTGGCTTCTGCAGTGTGTAGTAAGACTGGCTTCTTTTATTTCTCGCGTTTTTGTTGCATTTCGTTGCAGATTTAAGAGATAAACAGTGGAAGGCACTTTCAAGTCGTCGGGTCATTAATTAAGCCTTAGTGTGGCTAGAGGTTCAGGAACGGTATATCTCGCCAACCAAACTCCTTGTTCTATCCCCAGAGATAGGAGCTGGTTTGGTGAGACTCTTCCAGACTGATTTTTTTTCCCCAACTCGACTGCGAATCCAAACACAGTTTATGTGGTGAAGATACAAGGTTCCTTCTTCTACAAAGCTTTTTTTTTTTTTTTTTTTTTTTTGTGAGATAGAGTCTCTGTCACCCAGGCTGGAGTGCAGTGGCACAATCTCGGCTTACTACAACCTCCGCCTCCCGGATTCAAGCGATTCTTCTGCTTCAGCCTCCCAAGTACCTGGGACTACAAGCGTGCACCACCACACCCAACTAATTTTTGTATTTTTAGTAGAGACGGTGTTTCACCATTTTGGCCAGGCTAGTCTCAAACTCCTGACCTCAGGTAATCCGCCCACCTCGGCCTTCCGAAGTGTTGAGATTACAGGCATAAGCCAACGCGCCCGGCCCCTATGGAGCTTTTCTAATGGAACCAAACACAAAACAAATTGAATAAATAACATAAATCCCAGATGAATAATATCTCAGTGAGAAGTGCCCTGTAGAAAGAGAATTTTGATAGAATGGTCTACCTCCTTCCTATTCCCTCTCCATAAGGGAGCTCATCTACTTCCATGGCTTTAAGTAAATGCCATCTGATAGCTAGTGACCCCCTAGTTTACAGCCATCAGCTGGTCCTGTTGACTCCCTTCCATCAGCTGGTCCTCTTCAAAGCGTATGTTTCATCCAACCATATTTTACCACCTCCACTGCTGCCATCCTGGTCCAAGATCTCTTGCTGGATAATTGCAATAGCCCCTAACCGTTCTCCCTAGACCACTCTTCTATCTCGCTCTTGCCCTTCTCTATCCCAGTCCTCCACATAACAGCCAAACTTTTTTTTTTTTTCTCTCTCTGACAGGGTCTTGCTGGAGTGCAGTGGCATAATATCAGTTCACTGCAACCTCCACCTCCCAGATTCAAGCAATTCTCCCACCTCAGCCTCCCAAGTAGCTGGGACTGCAGGCGCATGCCACCACACTGGCTAATTTTTGTATTTTTTGTAGAGACGGGATTTCGCCATGTTGCCCAAGCTGGTATCGAACTCCCGGACTCAAGTGATTCGCCCACCTCACCCTCCCAAAGTGCTGGGATTACAGGCAGGAGCCACCATGCCCAGCCCAAATTATTCTTTTAAAGTAAATCTGATCACACATCACTGTCCTGCACAAAACCCTCCAATGCCTTTCCCCATGACACATGGCTCCCTGCAGATCTCTCGTCAAATGTTATCTCATCAGAGGTCTACAATCACTGCCCTGTAGAAAATAGTCCCACTCCCACCACATAGCTATTTTTTTAACCAAAACAGGTGCTTTTCTTCATAGCACAAACTACTCCCTGAATAGATCATATATTTCTTTACTTGTTTACGGCATGTTTCTCCTCTTAGAATGTTAGCTCCATGAGGCAAAGACTTGACTTGTTCTCTGATGTATTTATTCCATGACCCTAAATCAATGTCTAGTGTGTGGGCACTCAGTGAATAGTTGGGGAACAAATGAATGAATATGTTTCTAAACACACATACAGAATTTAATCTGTAACACTACAATTCTAAGTATTTTATAAAATTAATTTCATCTTCTTAAAAACTCCACTAAATAGGTTCCATTACCTCCATTTTATAAACAAGGAAACTGAGGCAAAGAAAGGTTAATCACAAAGACAATATGTGGCGGAGCTGGGATTCATAGGCAAGCATTCTGGCTCCAGGAGACACGCTCTTAATCACTATGCTACCGTTTTTCTTTTAACAAGAGGAATCATGCTGTAATTGGTCTATTCTGTGCTTTTTTTCACCAAAGATCATGGATTTTTAAAATATTATAGGAATATACCATAGTTAATATTACCAGTCCTCTGGTAATGGACATATAGATGATTTTCAATTTCTACTATCCAACCAATGCTGTCATGACATGGTACTACTAAGCACATTTTCTGTCTTGAGAGATAATGCTAAATAACTATTTTTAATCCCTGTGCAATATATATACACACACGTGTGTGTGTGTGTGTGTATATATATTTTTTTTTGAGTGTGTGTGTGTGTGTGTGTATATATATATAT